TTGTTCAATCTTTCTCTGTTGTTTTCCTTTACTGGTCCTACGTTTTCTCATAAACTCTCACTTCCTCTGCTTTAATCTCCCATAGGAGTCCTTATATAATCCCAATCCCAAGGTTTTTTTTTTTTGTTATAATAATCACCTGGGTCCTGTGCTTGGTCCCTTTTTCTTTAAGTATAATCCAGTTATTGCGTTGTTGTTGTTTTTTTTTTTTTTTTTTTTTTTTGTTATTATGGCTTCTTCTAGTACTTCAGCTTCAAGCATGATGAAAAGCTCGTCGAGTTCAGAGGAGGATTTGCAGCAGGTTATGGATCAGAGGAAGCGCAAAAGAATGCAATCAAACAGGGAATCCGCACCACGGTCCAGGATGAGGAAGCAGAAGCATCTGGATGATCTGATAGCTCAGGTCTCGGAGCTCACCAGAGAGAACGACCAGATCAGAACCAGCGTGAACATCATCACTTCACAACTTTACTTGAACCTCGAGGCAGAGAACTCTGTTCTTCGAGCTCAGATGGTTGAGCTCAACACCAGGTTGCAATCTCTCAATGAAATCACTGATTTCATAAACACAAGCAATGGAGTTCTGTTTCGAGATGATCATCAGCTAAGTGATGAAAGCTTCATGGATCCATGGGATGGTGCTGCTTCCTGCTGTGGTAATCAACCCATCATGGCTTCTGCTGAGATGATTATGTATTAATTCTATATTCTCTGTTTTGAAGTTGGGGAAATTAATATTGCACGTTAAGATGTAGTAATTATCAGGTGGGATGAAGTTTGCAATTGTGTGCTTGATCTGTAAGAAAAGTTGCTAGGGCTTTCTGGTCATCGTTTATTGGTAATAAAATAAAGAATATTTCTTTAGCCTGCATTGTTAGGATAATTATTAATGGTGTATTTAATATATTCTTTAGTTATTAAATTATATAAAAAAATAAAATTTGACCTTAATTTAAATAAAATTTGACTTTAATTTTAATAATTAATTAATTAAATTTATACACATAATATTAATGTTAAAATTAATATAAGTTTTTTATCATGTATTTTTTAATCACAAGTTAAGAATGTGATTATTATATTTTTTTACATTAATTACTATTAAAAAACAAATGTTAATTTTTATATAAGTAACTATTTAATTAAAGAAGTTAGTATTTGTCGGTCTTATCTTCAAAAAATTAAAAAGAAAAAAAATAAAAAAAAAAACTTAATTCATGTTTTAAAAATAAAATATTTTAGTAAGATAGTATTTCTCCTAATTTTTAAAAGGTAAGGCAAATAAAAACTATTTCCTTAATTAAAATGGTCAACATGATATTAGTGATTTTATATTTTTTTAATAATAATTAAAATAAAAAATACATAATAATTA